AAAATTTTTAACAAAATTAATTTATTATTATTATTTAGATGTTCTAGCACGATTACCAAATGGATACAGACTATTTGAGCATATTAAGCAATATAAATCTGGTGAAGTTAGAAAAGATACCTACCTTTTTGGTAATTTTTAAGAATATTATCATAATTATTTTCGTATTTTCATATTTAAGGATTATAATTTACATTTATATTGATAGGAGGTGGTGTCGAGTCTGGTATAAAATTTCGTTCACCAAACGAATTCATTGATCATTTGTTATGGCTCGCATCCGATAAAGCTTCACCATGTGCTTGTAAATACTGCGGTGGTAAAACTTATTCTAGTAAAACGATGATAAAATCACAAGAACAAGGAAGATTTCGACGTGGAGAATTGGTCTGGGCTACTAAAGATCAGATCTTGAAAGCCGCCGATGAAAAAGATACATTAGATTATATCAAGTTTTGGCCGGCCGTGGTTATTGAGCGTATAGTTGTACCACCTCATGTCCTGTATACATTACAGCGAATTTCAGTGGATGGAACATTGAAGGTTCGTCAAAACAAGATTATGCCGTGGCTGGCACTTGATCCAGCGGATCTTACGAAACAATTTGATAATCAAGACATGACAGATGATACTTCACTCGGTTCAAAATTTCTCAGAGCAGTCAATCACGCAAAGGAAATGGCCTCAATGTACATACCAATTATTAAAAATGAATATGCATTAAATTGCATAATATTTGGAGCCGAAGTGTTAAAGGTGAACGACTATGTTAGATTGACATATCAGAAACTTAACGATTCTGAAATGATGCAATTACCAGTGTTTAAAATCACGTCAATGTCTTTGAATGAACAGAATAAACTTGAGATGAGGGGTGACATGTTTTTGAAAATGCCCACGAACGGTACACCTGGAACAAAGTTGATTAGAACGAACACTGAACAAACAGAATATCCACTTGATTTGACGCAAATAGCTGGCCGATTCTACATAACTTATCCGAATATTACACGATCTGCAACACCAACTATACTTGGAACATTAACGGACAGGCTTAAAATTATACAACAAGAAGATAGATCT